ATATATATAATTAATAATTTAGTAATAGTATAATTATATATAACATTATAATATTGGACGGAATAGCGTTATACGACTTGAAATTAATATATTAGAAGTACGTATATATTGGGAGCATTGCGATTATTGTAGCTGATAACATAGACATAGCTCAGACAATAAATAGACATAAATAGACATAAATAGACATAAATAGACATAAATAGACATAAATAGACATAAATAGACATAGCTCAGCAATGCACCAGAATGTATCGAGTTGTGAAAAATATGCGCGCGTGATCAAACAACACCGTTACTTTTAGTCAAATATTGCGACAGCGTTACATATGTCGGTTTACATGTGTCTCTATTGGCTTTGTGTCGCAGGGTCGGTACACATGTAAAGCGTGGCTCAAAGACCAGGATGACCGAGTGGTCGGATGTGGACATGCTGACTTCTTCTTATAGACTTTTTCTATCGAATATCTATCGCGCCCATCGAGCCATCGTTAGCTAAATCCATTTGTGCTTAGCTGTGACACACACGCGCGGCTTATACTATTTACACCTTCGTCGTATCATGTACCATCGTCGATTGCTGACACTTGTAAGAATATCACGATATATAGTAGTATAACTGCGTTTACTAACTTCACGCAATTTCCACTAGGACGACGGAGCGACACGAAAACTACGCCGCAACAGTACCGAGTTGCGCAATGTATCAATGCCAAACTGAACAAACAGGGATAACAACGAGCACGCGTGCATCAATATTCTGTATAGCTTGATTCCAAGAATAACACCACAGTCCTGTGCTATGCATCACTGGCTAACCGTTGTTTCAATTGTTTGTCAATGAAGTGGATTTTGTGATAAACGTGTTATCATAATAGAAGTTGACCATAAATTAATCTTCTTTTACGCCCTTCTCACAATTTCACACTTGCCGAGCGATGTTTTACATATACCGAGTATGCGGAGGTTATTGCATTTACAATTGTATATAACATGCTGATTTTCTCACCTATTCGAACAATTTTCTTATATTGCATTTACAGATAAAGCGTTACCAGCGTTTAGCTAGTCAATTTGTTGAACGTCACGTAGTATTTACCTGAGTTCTTCGTTAGTATCGCTACACGTACCTGGATCCTTTATATTAGGCCATCGGTTTTATATCGGCCAGTGGTTATAACGGTGAAAATGTACTATATTATCAGATATTATTATACGCAATTTTCTATTGCTATTTTGTGCTTAGTGAAATCCATGCGCCTATTTCCAAGAAATAATACGTCTAGCTAGATGCCATATGCCGGGATCGCCAAATAAGTGTATACTACTACTTTACTCCCCTGGAAAGGTATATGCAAGGCGAGAGTCTCACCGTATTAATTGAAAGTACTTCTAATATGTCTTTCCTGTAAATCCACTGAAATATTATGAAATGCCTGTGTTATCTATTTGTCGCTTTATTACATGAAGTCTAAATCTGGTTTATTTGACGATAGCTGAAATTTACTGCCAAATAACTGCAATCAGCGTTGTTTGTCACAATTTCGGAATGTTGTCCACTATAAAGTAAAACAATTTGACACATTCTGCATATTGCAAAGAGCCTTACCACTGTCAACCCCAACCAAACCATCTGACTACATTGGCCTGCAAAGGGCGACATGGTTAGTTACACCGTTAGGTTATTCACAACGAGTTTAGCATCAGTTAAAAACACTAGTTAATATAATAGGTTTAATTTTTAGCTCACCTGACGAAGTCAGATGCAGCTTGTAGAATCGCATAAGCGTCCGTGCGTCCGTGCGTCCGTGCGTCCGTGCGTCCGTGCGTCCGTCAACAGTTGGGCACAAATCTTAACCACTCGACGTACGGTCTTGATATTCGGGACGTCGAGGGGAATCGCGAAAAGGACTCGGGGTCAAGGGACTCGATGTCGAATTTGGGGGTCAAGAGTGAAAGGTCAAGGTGTGTCAATGGAGGGGGAATATTTCCCCCTTAACTTAAGGTATAGGAAGAAATACGGAATTGCGTCACAAATCTTAACGGCTTGATCTACGCTCTTAATATTCGATGTATAGTGTGATGGGGAGGAAACCCATCACCAGCGCGAAATTGGAGGTTACAGGTCAAAGGGCAGTGGGGGAAAGGTCAGATATCAGACATTTTCTGAGGACATGGTCTAACGGACCGAGTGAAAAACTTTTTTGTGTCAGCGCTGACCTACCATATTTATCACTTTATTGAAAGGACCATGAAATGTACGCGGGATGCCCGTTAGTGTCCCACTGCATGAAAGCGGGCACTTGCGGCCTAGCAACGGCATAGTATTACTAGCTGGTGACCCTGTGGCTGAGGTCGTGGAATGTGATAAATCTAAACAGTGCATGATTAGCGAGCGAGAGCACGAGTTCTCCATCGGTCAGGGGTTAGTTGCACGCGCAGCACTCTCTGCAACAGCAAGCGCTCGTCCTATATATAACCAGGGAAACTGTCTGTCGTGGGCACACACACACACACCCACAAACACACACATGAACACGCGCATACATGCATATGAGTCTCCCTGGACGAGCGCACCAGTAGTGCTAACGGTGCCTTTATCGCGTAGATTCTGTCGACGTCGGCGTCAATGCACCGAGACAGCGCGCTCGGTAAACACAACGAGAGGGCCAGGCGCGAGTACTATTGCACTCGATGGTCTGATTAATTGGTCGCGCCCGCCGTTGCAAAATCCCCTAGACCGAAGAACAAAATTCCCTGGACCGAAGAGGAGTCCGCACGTACGAGTCGACTGTCCTTTAAGCTGTTGAACGGCGACTGTGTGGCTGCGGGTAAGCTGGGCTCTCCCGCTGCACCGGGATTCGACGGCGAACGTGATCATATATTGTCACCGTGTGTATAGCTGTCACCGCAGCGGCAGGCACGCGCAGTCGACGACATTCGACGGTGAGTTAGCCAGACGACTATGGGCGAAAGTGGCGGCGACAACGGAAGGACAATGATGAAATTCACGAAGAGAACCGTCATCGCGATCTTACTGCTCACTATCGCAGTGTCTTGCGTTTATATGGCATATTTTCGACATCCACCGCCAGAGGAGATCCTGGCGGCTAACAGTAAATCCCTAAGCACGGCACACATGAAAAATGCTGCGTCGAACATCAAACTCTTCAACGATGGCCGTGATCATCTGCGAATGCAGCAGGTGAATCTGTGGGAGAAGTGGACGCGGGACAACGAATACATCGTCATAGGAGAATATTATTCGAATTGCGGTGAGTGAACAATTACCTCAGCTGTTATACAGTATCTAGAAATCTAGATACAAGTGTAATCCAACTGAATAGTGTAGGATTACTCTGTTGCAGGGGCGGATCTAGAAGGGGGATTGGGGGGGGGGGCGTCGCAACCCCCCGTTCAGCCACTGACTAATGTTACGATACTAGTAAAATGGGGGCACCCTAGCACCGCGTGCCTTCGGCACGCCTTCACTCAAATATCACCCCTCCCCCCTCCGTCTCATGAAAGCAAGATCCGCCCCCAACGTTACATCTTTGTATCGTAAAGCTCAGCTCTAATAGTAGAACTAGCAAAAGCAATATTCAATAGCAAGACCATGCATGCACTTCATCAATAGCAAGACCATGCATGCACTTCATCAATAGCAGCAACAATGACAGCTCATGAATTGCTCATATGTTCTATGTCTACCTACTATTCCTACCTACTTGATACCTGTAGATGTCTATACGCACTCGCGCGCACACGCATTCACGCGCGCATGCGCTCACGCACGATCATGTGCCGCGTGCAAACGCACCTGCGGTGTAACTGGCGCATGCCGCACGAACATTAGACCGAGCAGGCTGCGAGACTATATTATTATAGTTAGTACTGTTCACTGATTTCTGGTTAATAGTTAATATATAGAGATCAGCGGTACTGTCAAGGGTCGGTCGAGTTAACTGGCGCGCAAGTACACATGGCGCTTTGTCGATGTGTATGACCGTGTCTTGGAGTCGATTGATCACGACCATGCAACCAACAAACACGTAGAGGAGGGAGCATATGTTGGCTCTTATAGATCGTAGTCTCTATTTGAAGATTTTACGTTATTGTGTGTACTGTGATGAAGCTGTGATGAAGCTTGTTGTGTGTGCGTGCACGCATGATGCGTATAAAAGAACACACGCATACACAAACAGTGGCGGATCCAAGGGGGCGCAGGTGGCGCCCCCTTATGTTTGCCCCCCCTCCCCCCATTCGGCACGCACGCCAAGCGTGCGCACCGGCGCTATCACAAAATCCGCACCCACTAGAATTAAATCCTGGCTACGCGGTCGCGCCCCCCTATCTCAAAATCCTGGATCCACCACTGCACAAACCCAAAGTGGCATATATGGCTCACGCGCAACGCGGCGTTTTTATGAGCTTATCTGAGCTATCGCTCAAATGCCACTGTGCACAGAAATCGTGCAGTGTGGCGTGCGTGCAGTGAGTTTTTGTGTTGTAGACGAGCATTTAATCGGCATTTACGTGGAGATAATCAGGAAACAGTGTGGAGAATAGATACCTTGGTAACAAGTACAACTCGTGTTTTACTACAATTCTATTATTGAAACGGCCCAAGTGTCTGGATCTGTGGTGGACAGACGATCCAAAACCCAATTTGGAGGTCAAATCTGGGGCAATAGTAAAAAGGCGAGAGGTTCGAAGGAAAGGGAAATATAGTCTCCTTTATAGGACCAGCATAGGAACAAAATTAAGCCATAAAGGACTAGCATTGGCAAAACGCAAAATGCGGCTCAGATTAAAACGGCTTGGCCTATATTCTTGATATTCGATATTCATGGTGAGAAAAGCTATCACCATGGCCAAATTTGACCAGGACCTTGACCAAGCAATGTTGCATTTTGGCACTTAGTGACTAGTTAAGACTTAGTTAGGTGTATATTTCGAAGTACAGGTCTGGAGTCTGTGGACTCTCATACCGTAAGCAGGATGTGTGAGTGGCAGCTGGTGTAAGGAACTGATATACTGACATGCATGTCCTGTAGAGTAACACCAGTCACGAGGAAAAGGCTATTACATGTCAGTTACTCCTTGGGATGTAGCTGCTATACAACACTGTGTACGGTAATATTATATATATATATATATATATATATATACATACATACATACTAACAGGAGTAGATAATAGGGAATTTTCCTATTATCTACTTCTGATACTACCTATGCGTATTTTCACAGTATGATATTGGCAATGATTGCGAGTTGCGTAGCTGAAACGACCTAATCAGTAATCTAACATGCTTTCTTCAACACAGTTGATAGACTGCAATAAACGTAATAGAGGATTGCGCGTGTGATCATGTGCGCGAACTTAACAACCGTGAACGATCACTATATAGGTCGATCTAGTAAACATATATCAATTAAATTTATGCAAGCGTGCATATATCGCTTCTATCACCTTCAAACGCCTTTGGAGACAATTATATCGATCATCCCACAGCTATCGACAAAGATACCTCAAAGCTTAATATAATGTTATGTTTATTCTATGGAGTATGGACTGTGTATACCGACAGGACTTAATTAATGAACTATTTCACCTGAATATATTTTTACGTCAGCAATGCACCAGATTGTATCGAGTTGCGAGAAATATGTGCGTGTCATCAAACAGCACCTTTTAGCAAATGTTGCATCAGCGTTACATATACGCTGGTTGACATGTGTCTATATTGGCTGTGTCTCGCAGGGTCGGTACACGCAGTTACATGCGCCAGTGCCCACTTATACATTATCACGCATATATTATCACGCACACATTTTATTCTCCGGTAGATCTTTTTAGCGCAAGAGCAATAATTGTATACATATAACATGTTGTTATTATACGTGATTATAACATATTTGTTGGCGGACGGAATGAACTAGACGTAACCCCGTGTAGAATAATGTGCTGTGTCAGCGATTCTGCCGATTCTAACTACGGTAACCGGTTTTATTTGGGAAATAGAATCCATACCCTATCCCTGAAATATATACACGCCAATGACATTTGGCTCACGCGCACGCATACGTGTACGTGTACCATTTATTTGAAGTTTTAAACTTAGGGTCATCGGAATGAACACGTGTACGTACTCGTCTCTAGCAGTTTCGAGTTCCCAAATTATTTAACAGCTAAATCATATATAGGTAGACGTGCCTTTTCACAGATCGGGAATGAATTTATTTTCTATTGCCCTTGCCAATATCGTTGTTTTATAGACGGACGACTTGCCGTAGGAAATGACTGAAATCGCAGTGCAGAGATGTTTGTGACATATAGCTATTCTGAAGTGAATGCACTTAATTGTGTAATTATTCAATTCTTATTTCAGAGGAAGATGCTTTGCTTATAGGAAAAGTAGCCCTAGTGAAAGACAAAAAATATGGCGGTGTCAAGTCATTCCATGTGTTCAACGCTACCTGGGGTATGCCTATACATTTATTGCATAGAAATCTCGTTGAAGTGTGCTTGTCAATGCGAAAATTACGGGTTAGAACCATTAAGCTTAATCTTAACCGATTATGATATTTTTGTTTTAATCTAGTCTCATATAATAATTTATTTATCAATTATAGTTAGAATTATATTATAATTATAAATATAATTATTAGTCAATTATAAACACTTCTATCCTATTGCCATCTTTCTATTGCAAACACTTTGTGTGTATGTGTGTGTGTGTGTGTGTGTGTGTGTGTGTGTGTGTGTGTGCTGTGTGTGATGTCTGTGTGTGTGTGTGTGTGTGTGTGCGTGCGTGCGTGCGTGTGGGCGTGCGTGCGTGTGTGGCGTGTGGTGTGTGTGCGTGTATGTGCGTGTGTGCGTGCGTTGGACAAGAAGAAGACCAAGAGAGAAGAGGGGAATAGATGTCAGATAGTGAGAGGGGTAGAGGAGTTAAGGAAGGAGGAGAGAGAGAGGGCAGAGAGAGAAGAGGTGGGGGGGGAGTAGAAAAAAGAGAGAGAGAGAGAGAGAGAGAGAGAGAGGGAGAGATCGAGAAGCGATAGAGGGGAGAGAGAGAGAGAGCGACGAGAGCGAGAGAGAAGTCGCCTAGTGTGATCCAGGACATAATATGACTAGCGCAAATGGACACGCAGTAAGCCTCGTTTTCGGCGATCGGATTGTCCGTCCAGTAATTGTCTATACACACCAATCAGATTAGCCAGGCTCCGCATATATAAGGAGAGGAAGAGAGAAGGCCGGAAAGAGCGGCATGAGGAAGGGAGGGCGGGAGAAGGTAGAGGATAGCATGGGGAGAGGAGAGGAGAGAGAGAGAAAAGAGAGAGAGAGAGAGAAGAGAGGAAGAGAGAGAGGGAGAGAGAGAGAGAAGGGGTGGGAGAGATAAAGAGTGGCCGCTCCGCTTATCGGCAGGAGACATAATATCAGGAGTAGATAATAGGGAATTCCCTATTATCTACTCCTGATAATATCAAGAGTACATAATGGACTATACATGTGCGTATATCTATTATGTACTCTTGATAATATCATCCGCACCGGACCGCACGTTTATGTTCTGTGCTATAGCGGTATCTCATGCGACGTCACAAGAGTCACAACCTTCGTTCAATTGCTTTATTGGTAGTCAAATTTATTGTCATTTAATATACGTATAACACTTTTGACAACCGACACATTTTGTTGCTCAATACAGGTTGAATATTTTGCATATTTTTCAATGTGATAAGTAAGGATTGTATCTGTGCTGTGTACCTCCAACAATGAAAGTACGTTACCTGTTTGTTATATATTACAGTGTATGCCTACGCCTTTGTTGTGCCTTCCATACGAAATTCGTCCTATTTTAAGTAACATCCAATTTGTTTATATGTAACATTGCCGATCTTCTCACCATTATCTATTCACTATTCTAATTCATTCTCTTTCTCCTTCTGTCTCTCTCTCTCTCTCTTTCTCTCTCTCATCTCGTCTCTCTCTTGCTCTCTCTCTCTCTCTCTCTCCTCTCGTCTCTCTGCTCTCGTCTCTTTCTTCGCTCTCTCTCTCTCTCTCTCTCTCGCTCTCTCTCTCTCTCTCTCTCTC